AAGGAGCTGTCAGAACTTCATTAAGGAGCTGGCGTTCTTCCCCGAAACAGAATTAAATCTCTGCCGAGCAGCCCAGTGAGCTTTATGAACTGACTCAGCTACTGCGTAAACCCAACCATGTCTCCCTCGTCTTTTTAACAATCCTCCAATGGGGAACATTGGGCCCCAAAGCTAACATGGAAAAATTCCTATTGGGAAAACAGTCTTCAATGCAGACGGAGTGGCATGAGGTAAGGGAGCCAAGAGGCCATTCCACCCTACATCTCTCTTTCAACAGCCTAGAATTTCAACTATGAGAAATGCTATAGGACAGCTAGGTGGCTCAATTGGTAGAGCACCAGGCCTAGAATCAGGAAGACCCGAGTTTAAATCTGGCCTCAAACACTTATTAGCTGTGTGACCCTGGGCAAGTCACTTAACCCTATTTGTTTCAGTTTCCTCATCTGTAAAAAATGAGCTGGAGACAGATAAAGAAAACCACTCCAGTATCTTTGCTAAGGAAAACCCCCTAAAAAGAGGGTCACAAAGAATTGGAAACAACTTAACCATAACAATAACACTGCAGCCAGACAGGGGTATTATGTCTCAGAAGTCTTCATTCCTCTCTGAGCTCCACCCCTGATTCTTTAGACATTTCCCACCATTCACAACACTCTCCTCACCCTGCATGTTCTTTATGCCCCAGATTTGCTCGTACAAGAAATATATTCTGCCCCTTTGGCCCCTTCTTCTAAGTGTTTGGTCTTTCCTAGGACCTCCATTTTAAACAAAGTCCTCAGGATAGCCATGTCTTCATTCCCCTCCAGGCCTCACCCCTGACTTTCTGGATTTTCTCCACAATGCCCCCTCTCTAGTACCTTCTCCCCTTGTACCTCCCTGCTTTTCTACTTCCTCTTATGTGTTGTCTACCTTCTCAAGGACAATAAGCACTTATTAAGCATCTACTATATAATAAGCATTTACTAAGCACTTACTAAATAATAAACATTTATTAAGCACCTACTATGTAATAAACATTTATTAAGCACCTAATAATAAACAAGGCAGCTAGATGTATAAGTAGATAGAGGGCTTGGAGTCAGGATGACCTGAGTTCATATCTGACTTCAGACACTTACTAGCTATGTGACCCTGGGCAAGTCACTTAATACTGTTTGCCTCAGTTTTCTCATCTGTAAAATGAGCTGGAGAAGGAAATGGCAAACCACTCCAGTATCTCTGCCAAGGAAACCTCAAATGGGGTCACAAAGAGTCAGACACAACTGAAAAAGAAATGAACAACAACAACATATAATAAACATCTTATTAAACACCTAGTATATAATAAACATTTTGTGAGCACCTGGCACCCAGTTCCAGGCCCTGGGCTAAGCATTTCTCTGTGTTTTGTGGAACCAAAGTTAGGTCATGCTATTCTGCAAGAAGCCTTTCTCAGACCTCCTTAATCTTAGTACCTTCCCTCTGAGATTATCTCCAATTTATCCTGTATATCTTGGTTGTACGTAGTTGTTTGCCTGTCATCTCCCTCATTAGAATCAATCAATCCACCAACCAATTAATCAATAAACATTTATTAAGTACTTAGTATGTGCCAAGCACTGTGCTAAGGCTAGGGATACAAAGACGCAAAAAATAGTTCCTGCCCTCGAGGAGCTTACAATCTGATGGGATTTCTGCTTGTACTTAACATTACGGCACTTAGCAGAAAGCCTGGTACATATATAGTAAGTACTTAATAAATAATTGTTGACTTGATTTGACTTGAAGAGACCACAGTCACAATGCTGGGTTCCTCTTTGAGGAACACAAGTCTGATTAGCTAGTTGCTATCTTGAGTCTGGAGGGAAGGAGATACAGGATAGGAAAGTGTGAGTGTGGGGGATTGGACCACTGATGAAGCAAGGGTGACCAGGCTGTCAGTGATGCCAGGCCTAGGGTGATGGCATGCCTGGGCCTGGACAGAATGCCTTAAAAGAGAAAAAAGGAAGTAATATCAATTTTTTTCCTCAAGTATGCTCTATTTAAAAAAAAAAGAGTAGGCAACTATTCTTTGGATGTTGAAATATTAGTATGTGTTAATGATTGTTAAGTTCATAATTTTTTTAAAATGTAAAAGTTTAAGAATACTGTAGTGATGGTTGTGACCCAGGACACTGGTAGAACTGGGGAGGCATTTGTTAACCCCTCCAGCCTCCCAAACACCAGCCTGGACTATTGTCAGCACAGAAATGATGGGCAACTTCAATGAACTTTGCCTCTAGGTGGATTGATCTGGGACTCAGACAGGGTCCACTGAGCAAGAAGAATATAAAAGCAGTTTTAAGCAATTTAGCAGAGAGTTCTCCAGACTCTTTTTGAGGTCCCAAGGAAACTCTTTGCCAACTGTTTTTAATTTCCTTACTGGCAATCTCTACTTACTTTTACTTTCCTGGTCTACTTTTAAATGCTTTGGAGACTGCTTTTTGAATATGTTTTTATTAAAGGGAATATTTATTTGACCCTTCAGGCTCTGAGTAATCTATCCCACCAGATGTGAAACTGCAACCAGGAAAATGGCACTTAGAAAATAATCCCAGAGTTGTAATAGGCTACCCAGCTTCCACACTGTGTAATGTCAAGAGCATCGGATCTGGAACCAGAGGACCTGCGTTCAAATTGCAGCTCTCTTATAACCTAAGTGATTTGCAGCGAATCACTTCACCTCTTGACTTCAACTTCCTCCTATGTAAAATGGGATGGTACAGGGGAAGGGTGAATCCAGTGATCCTTTTGGCCCTAAATCTATGATTCTATGATCCTTGTTAAATCAAGGAGAAGGGAGGGCAACCTACCGTTTGTGACCCGGAGTGTCTGATTACTTCATAGTTGTAGTTGTCCAGAAGTGAGCCATAAGAATCATAAAATCCAAACTGGAAGGGACCTTGATCACCTAGTCTAACCCAATTCTAATGGAAAACAGGTCCAGGAAGGAAAATGGATTTGCCCAAACTACAAAGTTCATTAGTAGCTAGCCTGAGACTAGAGCCCAGATCTCTGAATCCAAGTCCAATCAATCAGTCGGCCAGTCAATGACTCAACAGAACTTAATAGGTGCTTACTATGTACCAGACAATGGTTACACAGACAAAAAAAAACTAAAACAAAACAGTACCTGCTCTCAAAGACCATATATGCTCCACCATATTCCCACTGTCCTACTAGCAAGGATCATAATTTGATATTCCTGCTGTGTACCCATGAGAAAGTGAGCTAGGTAGTGCAGTGGATGGACCTGGAGTCAGGAAGACTGGAGTCCCAATCTGGCCCCAGATACTTGCTAACTGTGGTGATGATGATGATGATGATGATAATGATGATGATACTATCATTATTGTTTTTAGTAGTAGTAGTAAGACAATTTCTCCCTCAGTTTCCTCATTTGTAAAATGGGATAATAACAGCACCCATCTCTTAGGGTTGCTATGAGGATAAAATGAGATAATATTTGTAAAGCACTTTCCAAACTTAAAGTCCTATATAAATACATATATAGGTATTTAATTAAGTTACTTTTTAACCTAAGTCTCAGTTTCCTTATGTTTAAAATGGAGACAGTAATGCCTTATAAAATCAATAGGGTTATGGTAAAGATAACCATAAAGATACCATAACCTAGGGTTCTGGTAAAGATCAAATCAGGTCACATTCAGAAAGCATTTTTGCACTTTTAAAGTGTTTAAAGCACTATGTAAATGTCAGTTTGTATTATTGCTATTTAGTTCCAGAATATAAGGAGTTAAGTCCTTTTTTTCTTTGTAACTTTCACCGCAACTTTGGAATATCAGCAGATACTCTCTACAAAGGATTCTGCCCTCCCCAAATTCCATTTATAGTTTTAGTTGGGAAGGACCATGGTGTCAAAAAAAAAAAATACCATCAGCTGCATTTCAGGCACGAGTTTGCCAGAGACATTTTAAAATTAATTTAACATTCTAAATTCAAGCATTGTTCTGCTTGGAAAGAAATATCCACATTGTCAGAGTCCTTCTGAATCCCCTCAGACATGTCAAAACATTTTAAAGTAACATTTATAGAAATCTTGAATGAAGAAAATGTCATAACATGATAAAACAGAGTTTGGGGTTAACATTCTAACCCATCTAGTAGAATAATAGTCATTTAATTTTTCCAGAATGGTGCTTGGAGAAAAATCACTTATGCCTTTTTGACCCTTCACGTCAAGGACTCTCCTGAAGTAATTCAAGGGACCTCCTTACTCTGATCAATACCCTATTACCTTTAGGAAAAGGAGGGAAAGGGTGCTGTCCTTAGTTGAGTCATAACTCTATTGAAGGGAAAGTTAAAGGCAAGGATATTAACTAGTCAAATCAACAAGCATTTATTAAGTGCCTTCTATGTGTTGAGCACTGCACTAGAACGAGAGGAGGTATTTCTAATTCCAAATTTAGTTATCTCCTTTCATTCATTTCCCAGGGCCTTGGCTTTTGGTCTTTTTACCTACTTTCCTAAAAGAAAAGGCCTGAGAGAAAGAGTTCTAGACTAAAGCAATACTGATTTCTTAATATTTGAACTAAAACAGGTTTCTAATAGGCTTCCCCAATGATATCACAAAATCATAGGATTTAGAGCTAGAAGGAACATTAAAAATCAATATGTCCATTTTAAGGATGAGGAAACTGAGGCACAGAGGAGTTAAGGCATGTTACAATTCTTCACTTCTTGTCCTGTCTTCTGATGTCTCACCAGCTTATAAATAGCCCATTTCACTGCCTTAATCAGCACCAAACACGTTGCAGCATTTGGCAGGGGTTGGGGATCAGGGGCCTAAAAGAAAAGCAGGGAAAGTCAGTGACCACCACGGAGCCATGAAGGGCCACAAGAAGTTGGATTGTTGCTTTTTACATATGTACTCACCCAGCAGGGTTATATGCACTTTTGGGCATGGCTCTGCATCATTCATTACGTTTCCTGAATCTATCACTTTCTCTTTTCTTCCATAGCTGGCTGTACAGAATTCTACCTTCCGTCATTCACAAGCCTTTTGAATCCATTGAGCAAGGCCATCTGACTCACAACTGGGATGAAGTAGAGCCAGACCCTAACCAGGTAACTCAGTCACTCCTATAAAGGCATAAAATATACATAGTAGGCACTGTACCTCTAAATTAATTGACACAAGGAAACTCCCTCCACCAAAGCAAATTGGCCCCTTTACTGCAACTTGTTTAAGCTTAAGAGGATTGCACTGAGGGACTCGGGGTCCTACAGCTAGTATATGTGAAAGGCAGAACCTGAACCCAGGTTTTCTCGGTTTTGAAGCTAGCTCTCTATCTATGATGCACCTCTGCCTTTCTGCATTTTGTACAGCGGGCCTAAAACAAACCGGACCTGGAGTTGAAAAAAATGACAAACATAGTCAGCTGGGTTGAAATTTGTGTTTGGAGTACACTCTGTGCAAATGAATGGGAACGGACACAGTTTGTATTTTCTTAGCTTAAAGACAGAGTGTAGGAAAGAATGTTCATTGTCTCCGTTAAAATTTTGCAAGTCAGTAAAAATGTCTGCAGGTTCCTGACGATCCTTGCAACAAAATATAGGCAACCTAGCCAGTAATAGGATTGGTACAATAAAGCTACCCAATCTACCAATACAGGTGGACACCTTCTCTGCAACTCATAGGCCTAGAGAGATTTCTGAAGCACCACTGTCTAGGTTACCTAGGGTCACTCAGTCAGTCTATGTCTGAGGCAGGACTTGAACCCAGTTATTCCCGTCTCTGAAGCCAGCTCCTTACTGGCCTCCTTGCTGCTCCTCAAACAAGACACCGCCAAAGCTAGCCTTTTTCACTGACTGTCTCCCATGAGTGAAAGGCTCTCCCTCTTTATCTCAGCCTCCCTGCTTCCCTCGCTTCCTTCAAGTCCAGCTAAAATCCCTCCTGCTACAGGAAGATTTTCCCAATCCCTCTTAATTCTAGTGCCTTCCCTCAGTTCATTATTTCCAATTTATCCTGTATATAATTTGCCCATACATAGTTATTTTCATGTTGTTTCCCCCATTAGATTGTGAGCTCCTCAAGAGCAGAGCTTAGCACAGTGTCTGGCCTGGCACATAGTAGGTGCTTAATAAATATTTATTGACTGACACATCAGAAAATATTAAATAGGGATGAAAGGATCCCAGATCCTGATGATCATCAAAGAGTATCTTGCTGTCCAGAATGGATTCTGGAAAGTGTGGTTACTTTCAGGGTATCACATTCTTTACTCTTAATCTTTTCCTTCTGTCTTAAGACAGGTGGGTTCTTTCCCCAGCCCTCCTTAGGGAATAATCTAATTTGTAAACTATTATCCTCTGCTGGGTAACTAAGAGACCAAATCTAATGATATAACTGAACCAAGTATTTTTTTACTCATCATGAACCAAGTGTCTTTGCCCAAAATGCAATAAAAATAATAATGATGGCTAACCTTTATATAGCACTTACTACGTGCTGGGGACTGTGCTAAAAGCCTTACAATTATTAAAATGTCATTTGGTGCTTACAACAACAGTAAGGTAGGCTCTGTTATTATCCCCATTTTGCAAATGAGGAAATTGAGGCAAGCAGAGGTTAAGTGACTTGCCCAAGGTCACATACTTAGTAAGTGTAGCTCTGTCATTTGCTACTAGTGGCCCTAAAAGCAGCTTGGGATCATACCTACTGACCCATTTCCCTTGATCTAGTCTTACTTTTTATATCTTTTTCTTTAAAAAAAATTGATATTTTTGTTTTTACTTTCTCTTTATTTCTGAATATATTCATCTTCTTTTCACACTCAGTGAGCCATCCTTTATTTAAAAGATTTTTTTAAAAAGAAAAAAAGAGCAGTTCAGAAAAACTATTCAACATATCAATGATGTTTGATAGGACATGCAAGACATATCCCCTTAGGCTTTTACCTCTGCAAAGAGAGAAAAAAAGGAGATTTCCAGAGACCTTCTCCAGGGCCATTTTATTTCTCATCTGTTTTCCAACTTTTTGGCCACCTTCTATATGTTAGCAAGCCACGGATTAATATCTAGGCAATTGTTCTGTGAAATCCACTTTTGTTAAGGTTGTTGTCATTCAGTTATTTCAGTCATGTCCAATTCTTTATGACCCCATGTGGGGCTTTTCTTGGCAAAGATACTGGAATGGCTTGCCATTTCCTCTCATTTTACAAATGAGGAAACTGAGGCAAACAGGGTTATATGACTTGCTCAGGGTCACCTAACTAGTAAGTATCTGAGGCCAGATTTGAACTCAAAGAGATGAGTCTTCCTAACATCAAGCCTGAAACTCCATCTACTGTGCCACCTAGCTGCTTCTTAGGTAATGGTTTTGGAATCCACCCTTCTCTGTGACCTGGCCTCAACCATAATTATGATTTCTTTGTTTTGCTAAATATATACAGCATATTTTTTTTCTGCCTTTTTTTTTTTGATGAGGCAATTGGGGTTAAGTGACTTGCCCAGGGTCACACAACTAGTAAGTATTTTGTGTCTGAGGCTGGATTTGAATGCAGGTCCTCCTGACTCCAGGGCCAGTACTCTATTCACTGGGCCACCTACCTGCCCCTTCTTTATTATTATTATTTTTTTTGGCTAGGCAATGAAGTTAAGTGACTTGCCCAGGATCATACCGCTAGTAAGTGTCAAGTGTCTGAGGCTGGATTTGAACTCAGGTTCTCTTGACTACAAGGCCAGAGCTCTATCCACTATGCCACCTAACTACCCCTTACAGTATTCTTGATAACATGATTCTCTTGTCTTTTCGTTTATACCATCCTGACATGTTGGTATTCCTTTCTTAATTCATGCTTCAATAATTAAAGTCCAGTGGTTTCTGTTCATTTTTCACTTTTCCTCTCTCACTTTTCAATGGCACAGAAATATCCCCTCCAGACTCAGGCAAGTAGGTATGAAGAAATTATTTTTGTGTCTCTGACATCCCTTCAAATCCAAAAACTTAAAGTAGATCTTCTGTTCTTACTTATTCCTCACCTTTTAGGGGAGAATATATGTTGAGGTAGATTGAAAACTGGGTCAATGCCAGGAAGACATGGGTCAGCTCAAGTCTTTGTCCCCCTTGGGCAAGTCACTTAAACTCTTGGACTTCAGGCAGCTCTCTAAGAAAGGCAGCTAGATGGCGAAGTGAATAGAGCACTGGACTTGGAGTCAGGAAAGCCCGAGTTCAAATCCAGCCTCACACTAGTTGTGTGACCCTGGGCAAGTCACTTCACCTCTATCTTACTCAGTTTCCCCAAGTAAAATGTGGATAATAGCAACACCTACTTCTTGGGGTTGTTGTGAAGAGCAAATGATGAAGATCAGATGTAAAGTACTTACCACAGTGTCAAGCACATAGCTGGTGCTTGTTTCTTTTCCCTTCCCTCTAAGACTATAAATTGCAGAGAAGGTGCCAACCTGCCCCGATAAGGGAGGTTTCCTCCTCTGGGAGTTCCCTATGTCTCTTCTTACCTTTCACAGACCAACCCCAGGGAACCCACATGGTACAGTAAACTGATCTGGATTTGGGGTCAAAGGACTGGGGTTTGAGTCCCAGCTCCCTCACGTACTACCTGTGAATTTCAACTTCCCTTATCTAGAAAAGGAAAAGCTTGGACTAGGTGACCTAGTCCAAGCTATCTTTGAGCTCTACATCTATGATCCCATTGGCTTAGAACTATGATGCAGAACTCAGGCTGAGCTCATCAAGCACCTTTGGGGTCTTCAAAACAATCATCAAAATCTACAAGTTGAAAACCTGTAATAGCTAGCACTTGTGTAATGTTTTCAGGTTTGCAGAGCACTTTGTAGATATTATCTCATTTGATTCTCAACGAGTTGAGGCATTAAGAGGTTAAATGGCATCCCCAGGGTAACACAACTAGTAAGTATATGAGGCTGGATTTGAACTCAGGTCTCCCAAACAACAGGTCCAGTGCTCAATCCGCTTCACCACCAGCCTGCTTTAGTCAGTTCAGCCTGGCACTGTTTACCTCTGTGTTATTACTACAAAATGAAACTCTTCTCCGAGCTTCCCCCATTCTAATAATGGTATGAAAGACTTACAGTAAAGAGAATGTGGTTGTTATTCATGACATCAATTTCTGAAGGTTAAGAAATGTTACACAAAATAGGCCTCGTTTCCTTTCTCTCTCAGTGGATCTTTCACCCAGAGCCAGGGCAAGGCATCTGTGCACCTGAGGAAAGATTTGAAAATTGTGCCTAGATATTTCTATACTAGAGGATTTAAGCTTTCTTGGTAACATATTTATAATTTATCACAAAATAAATACATGTAGCATGGAAAATTAGGTTTTTCTGGCAGCAACCTCTTCATTTTTTAACAGATGAGTAAACTGAGACCTGGAAGAGTCAAGTGACTTGTTCATGGTTTCACGAATAACAGACCTGGGGTTTGAATCCAGGTACCCTAATTCCAGACCTCATGCTCTTTCCAGCTAGGTGGCTCAGTAGATAGAGTGCTGGGCCTGGAGTAGGAAAGACCTGCGTTAATCTCTGGCCTGACAAACAACTGGGAATTGAGGGGATGCCCATCAATTGGGGAATGACTGAACAAGTTGTGGTATATGAATGTAGTGGAATACTATTGTGCTATAAGAAATGATGAGCAGGCAGACTTCAGAAAAACGTGGAAAGACTTAAATGAACTGATGCTGAGTGAAGTGAGAAGAACCAGGAGGATGTTGTACACAGTAACAGCCACATTGTGCGATGATCAACTTTGATAGACTTAACTCTTCTTAGCAAGAAGGGCAGCTAGGTGGCAAAGTGGACAGAGCGCTGGGCTTAGACTCAGGAAGACCTGAGTTTAAATCTGGCCTCAGACACTTACTAATTGTGTGACCCTGGGACAAATCATATAACCCTGATTGCCTCAGTTCCTCACCTGTAAAATGAGCTGGAGAAGGAAATGGCAATGGAACTGAATGTTGAAAATTATCTTTACATGTAATTGGGAAAAAAATAAAATAATATTTACAAAAAAAAAAAGAAACTGTGAAAAAAAATCTGTCCTCAGTCACTAAATAGCTGTGTGACAGTGCCAAGTCACTTAACCTTTGTCTTCCTCAGTTTTCTCAATCATAAAATGGGGATAATGATATTTTACAAGGTTATTGTGAGGATCAAGTGAGATGATAGCAGCAAGACATTGCATATAGTAGGTGCTTACTAAATGCTTGTTCCCTTTCCAGCCCTCCCTCCATCTCTCACTTGGGTAAATCCAGCGCATCACTGGAATTGTCCCTCTGTTATCTTTCACTGATATCTCTCATCAATTTTTAAAAATTTTTACTTCTGAATTCTCTCCTTCCCTTCAGTCTCTCTCCTACCCATTGAGAAGGCAAGCAATGTGATATCAATTATATATGTGAACTCATGTGAAACATATTTCCACATTAGCGATGTTGCTGAAAAAAAGCAAGAGAAATAAAGTGAAAAGAATTCTACTTCAATCTGTACTCAGTCTTTATCAGTTCTCTTTCTGTAGGTAGCATTTTCATCATGAGTCCTTTGGAATTGTCTTGGATCATTTTCTTGATAAGTATCTCATTGATTAAAAAAAAACCTTCAGAATAAATGAGTTCACTATTGCTGTCTCTCAGTTTTCTCTTCTGAGAAATGGGGAGTTTGGATTAATTGATCCCTAAGATCCCCACCCCACCCCCAGCTCTAAATTATTATGATACTCAATTCAATTGCTCTTACCAAACTTTCAGAGGTTCCACTTTGGAAGGGATAATTTTAACAGCCCATCAGGGAGGAAATAGGCCTGATTAATATCACCACATATAGTATTGGGCAAAATTAAGCTGCCCACCAAGCCCTAGCTGAAGATCTCCTATGTTCTGCTCTAAAGATTCCGTCTGCCCATCAACTCCTAAAGCCTTTCGTATGTTGTCATCTTCTCTCCCCAGCCTCCATCCATGTCCATAGCCTTTTGGAAGCTAGAGTTCTGTCTGATTCTTAGGACTTGTATTTGGACAGAATCTCATGCAAAACTTCTCCAGAGATCCTAGGCTCGAGCTCCCCATTATGTTCATTTACCTATTATACTGTGGTCCACTTGTGTCACGGTCACTAGCTCCTCCCCATCCTCTCTAATGTTATAGCTTCATGTCTCATTCAGATGCACCCCCACAAGCAAGTCACTCTGGGCTTCCCGAAGTCATCATCAGACCCTGATGTCTCTGTGGAATGTCCCATTCCCACCACTTGCACACTCCTTCCTGAGGATCTTTTTCCTTGGAGGAAATGCCTTCAGTGCCAGAGGACCATAAAGCATCACTTGGGAAAAAGCTCCTATTTTAGAGTACATTTGCTTCCTCACGATCAATTCCCTCTTTTCCTTGAAGCTTTGTTTTTCCTTGCCTGAGGGCTGCCCTCCTAGAAATAAGGCTGTCCTATAGTAAGCAGGAAACCCTCACCTATAAATCTATTTGATTCATTCACTTTCCCTACATCAACTAATCTTGTAAGGTAGTATGATGTAGGGCGGCAAGATGGCACAGCGCTGGGGCCTGAAGTCAGAAGACTCATCTTTCCAAGTTCAAATCTGGTCTCAGACACTTACCAGTTGTGTGACCCTGGGCTAGTCACTTAACCCTGTTTGCTTCAATTCTTCATCTGTAAAATGAGCTACAGAAGGAAATGGCAAACTACTCTAATATCTTTGCTAAGAAAAGCCCAAATATGGTCACAAAAAGTCAGTTACAACTGAACAACAAAATGTGGTATAGTGGAACTGCTGCTGATCCTCTGATCTTGAGTCAGAGGACACTGGGTTCAAATCCCAAGGCTGCCACTTTTTGGGGGATGGGGGAAGAGAGATGGAGGAAGGGTATTTCATTATTTTGCATTTGTGCCGAGAAAGCAAAGACTTCAACAATGTGACTGAATTAGGAAATTTCAATCAATCAACAAAAATTTATTAAATGCTTATTATGTTCCAGGCACTGTGCTAAGTGCTAAGGATACAAAGAAAGGCAAAAAAAAAAAAAAAAGGTCCTTACCCTCAAGTAACTCACAGTCTGATAGAAGAAACAACAAACAGCTATGTATACAGAGCAGATGGAAGGTAATCTCAGAGGAAAGGGACTAGGAGTAGGAAAGGTTGGGAAAGGCCTCCTACAGAAGGTGAGACTTCAGCTGAGTCAATGATTTCCTTTGATTAAAAATTTAAAAATCTTCCACCAAAGTCTTACTTCCAAGTTTTATCATGCAGTGCAAATTTTCAAAGGCTGTGGCAATAGTGTGAATTTTGACAAAGGAAAGTCTTCAAATACAGCCCAGGGAAGGTCTTAATACCTGTCAGTCAAGACTCAGCCTACCTAAGTTTGGAGAGGCTCATCACCTCTTCTAGTTGGCCACTAGGTGGTGAATTTGTTGTTCAATTGTGTCCAATTCTTCATGACCCCATTTGGGGTTTTCTTAGCAAAGATACTGGAATGGTTTGCCATTTCCTTCTTCAGCTCATTTCACTGATGAGGAAACTGAGGTAAACAAGAGTAAGTGACTTGCCCAGGGTCACACAGCTAGTAAGGTCTGAGGTCACATTTGAACTCAGGAAGATGAGTGTTCCTGACTTCAGACCTGGCACTCTATCCACTGTGCCACGTAACTGCCCTTTTTTAGTCACAGCAACTAGCAAAGGCTTTTTCCTAAGGTACGGAGGGGGTAGGGGCATTGGTTGCTATCTCTTTGGGTGGAGTATCCTCATCCATGAAATTATGGATACTTGAAATACATTATTAAAATGTATGTGTATGTGTGTGGCATTCCCAAGCAAGCTATCAACATATATTTATTAGTTACCCAATATATGCCAGACAACATGAGAAGTACTGGGTATACAAAAATAAAAAAGAAACAATCCCTGCCCTCAAAAAGTTCACAGTCTTTCAAAGGAGAGAGTACACACACACACATGTATATATGTAAAATGAATACACAAAAAACATTGTTTTGAGTAAGGGAGGTACTAGAAGCTGGGAGTAGAGGGGGCATCAGAAACTCAGTTGTGTAATTCAAATTCCCAAGTCAAATATTTCCCAATTATGATAACCTTATTTTCTTTGAAAAAATCAGGACTACCACATGCCTGAGGGTAGGTGGTAGACTAATTGCCCACCATATTCTCTCCACCTCTTTGACTCATTTTGTGTAGCATGAAGTGACAGGACATGAGCACCACCCACTGTTCAGGAGTAATGAAGACACTGTGGGCTGGGATCTGGGTGCCAGGCTGATCTGAGCTATTGTAAGGGGAGCTAAGGCAGAAGGGTCACTCTGGGAGCAGATGGGCTCAGAGACCTCGTTGTTTATCGACCTCTGACAGCCATCACCTTGCTCTGTTAAATCCAATGCAGAGCTGATTAATAAATCATGAAGCCCTGGGCCACTTGGCAGCCTGGCACATCTGGTAGGGCCCCCAGCCTGCTGACATCTTCCGATTCTTTCAATTGTCTAATTAATAAGTTAAATATTGCCTAATTAACAAATCAAATATTGTCATGACTCAAATGAAAATGCCAGGTAGCCTAGGGACAAATCCTGAGCTCGGTGAAGGAACTAAATGGTGCTTCTGTAACTTATAAAACCTACCATCAATTTGCAGAATCACAAGGATGTCAGAACTGGAAGGGCCCTTCGAGATCACTTAGCCCAACGTCTTTGTTTTACAAATAACACCAAGGCTCAGAGAGGGGCACTGGTTTGCCCCCAGTCACCCAGACTGGACACTTTTTCACTTGTTTAAAGTCATGATTCAGAACTACGAGGGCTGAAAGCAAAAGCAGCCCCAGGCAGCCTCTGCAGTGTTGGGAGCCCACACAGAGCAGTTGGTGTGCCAGGAAGGGGAGCTGATTATAAATAGCATAAAAAATGGGATCAGTTGAAACTCCCTGATCTGCCTGAGCAGAATGTCAAAAAGCAAAGCTCCAGCATCTGAAGGAGAAAGCAAGGGAAACAGGGGACGCATTCTGCCACATGGAGAATAGAAGGTGCCATCCTCAAGTCATTTGAAAAAATTGGTGGCTTTTTTTCACTTTTTTTAAAAAAAATACCTCCAGTGCCTCTGGAAGAAAGTGACTAATAATGATCAGTTTCAAAATAACAAAATCACCAGCAGTCAGGGCTCTATACTTCATCTTCCATGGTGCAGATGCTATTCATTAAAAACCTCTAACTTGCCTTTGTGAAATAATTTATTTTTCCCGTGCTTGTTTTTCAGCTTAGGTGGAAGCCATTTGAGGTCCCAAAAGCATCCCAGAAAAAAATGGACTTTGTGAGCGTAAGTCACTATTCCAGCCCTTCTTCTTAGCCCTCTCCTCTCCTCTGAAGCCTGATTCATTCATTTGTTCATTTATTTATTCCGCCCATAAACATTTATTAAATACCTGCTATATTCCACAGGATCTGGGAATATAAAGACAAAAATTAAATAGCCTTTAAACTCAAGGAAATTACATTCTCTTGGGTAAAGTTCATTCAGTACATGATAATCCACCATTTGGCAGGTTGGGTGCCAAGTAGGGTCAGCCTCATATGAAGGCAGTCAAATTCTTCCATGGGATTTGGAATATAAAGACAAAAATAGTCTGTAACCTCAAGGAAATGACATTCTTTTGGGGAAGATTCATTCACACATGATAATCCAGCTATTAGCAGGCTGGGTGCCAAGTAGGGTCAGCTTCGGGTGAAGGGTCATGGAAAGCATCCCTCTGATCCAAATGTGGCCCTCACACGCCTGCTGCTGTGCCTAATATTCTCACCATTGGCTAAAGGTGGCTGTTAAAATGCACATCATTTCTGGAAGAAAGTCACACATTCATCCCTTGCTAGCCACTAACACTTTCTATCAATTCATCTTTATATTACTTAGCAGAAAGTGGGACACAAGTCAGGGAAGATTTGAAGGTGGCAAAAGACAGAATCATATAAACTCAATGAGGGCAGAGACCATGTCTTACTCAACTTTTAGAAAGGCATCATGGTGTAGTGGACATAACATGAATTTGGCATTAGACCTGTGTTGAATTCATCATGTACCACTTAGAAAATGAGGTCATCGGACTAGATCATCCCTAAGGTCCTGTCTAGCTGTAAATCCTATGATCCCATGATCCCCCATAGGGATTAGGAAAACATCTAGTCTAATCCCCAACTTGTGCAAAAGAGGAAAGTGAGCCCTGGAGACATGACCTACCTAAGGTTACAAGGGGAAAATCAGAGAGTGTTGGAGTTGGAATGATCAGTATAACAATGAGAGCTGATGTTTATATCATGCTTTAAGGTTTACATTATCTCAGCAAAACTTAGGGTTCATAAAATCCAACTCTCACCCAATGCTAGAATTCCTTCTACAGCATTTCTAGGTCATACAATCTCTGTTTCAATACTTCCAGGGACAAGGAGTTTTCTGTATTAACACAGTTCAGCCCCAGCTTCCTAGGGCTTCTCATTGTAGAGTCTTGCTACAGGAATCAACTGGCCCTGCTGCTTTCCTTGGCAGTGATAATGAGACATTATACAGAAGAGCCCCACGTCGGGTTGAATCTTTTCACAAGCAGGAACCTGTCAATGAGGTTTGAGGAATATCACAAAGTCCCAACTGCCTCCCAAATATCTTATTCCTCAGATTAGGAGCCCATTGTTAGAGAGATTCCTTTGAGTGAAAGAAAGCATTGTCCCCAGAAGGCCCCTATTTAAATCACCTAGGAATGAAGACAAGCTTATTGGGGCAGCTAAGTGGTGCCATAGTGCATATAGCGCTGGGCCTGAAGTCAGGGAAGACTCATCTTCCTGAGTTCAAATCTGGCTTCAGACACTTACTAGCTGTGTGACCCTGGACAAGTCAGCCATTTAACCCTGTTTGCCTCATTTCCTCATCTGTATAATGAGCTGGCCAAGTAAAGGGCAAATCCCTCCAGTAACTTTGGCAAGAAAACCTCAAATGGGGTCAAGGAGGAAACAACTAAAACAACCCAACAAAAACAAAGCACCCATTAGCACACTAATGAAGACTAATTTATGAAATCAGCCAATTATCACCTAGCAGAAAGTGGGGATCTGAGAGAATGGACAAGAGGATGAGTAAGTTTTCATTTCATTCCACAAGTATTTGCTGAGCATCTATCACGGACGAATGGAAAGATCGCCTCCAGTGCATTACACACCATATACATTCATTCATACATTCTTTCAACAAGCATCTATCAAGTACCTCCTATGTGCACAGCATTATGGAGTCTGCAGCCTAGTAGATACTTTATAAATATTTCCTGGATGAAGGAAGGAAGAGTGAGACAGTTTTGCTGGGCTGATAAGATGTGAATATGAAATAATTAGTTAAAAATTGTTTTAATTATTAAGTACTTATTAATTACCTACTACTTGCCAGGCACTGTGCAAAGCACTTTATGAATATTATCTTGTTTTATCCTTGAAACAACCCTATGAGGTAAGTGCTATTATTATTCCACCTTACAGATAAGGAAACTGAGGCACAGATAGGTTAAGTGACTTGCCCAGGGTCATACAGCTAGAAAGTATTTGAGGCTAGATTTGAACTTGGGTCTTCCTGACTCTAAGTTTAGGACTCTATTCACCTTATCACCTAAATGTCTCTTGTTGTTTCCGAGTCGTTTCAAGTCTGACTCTTCATGACCTTATTTGAGGTTTTCTTGGCAAAGATACTGGAATGGTTTGTCATTTCCTCCTCCAATTCATTTTACAGATGAGGAAACAGGCAAACAAGGTTAAGTAACTTGCCCAAGGTCACACAGCTAGTATCTGAGGCCAAATTTGAACTCAGTTCTTCCTAACTCCAGGCCCAACACTCCATCCACTGTGCCACCTCGCTGCCCACCTGCCTCTAATACATGTGTATTCTTTGTGTCACCATTCCTAGCTAACTTTTTAAATGATTGTGACATAATAGTTAGAGGTTAAAGAAGGGGATATGGACATGAGGTGTCTTGGGTTCTTCAGTTAACTCCTTTCAGTCTTTGCCTGTCTCAGAGGCCCTGATGCAAATGACTTGACTTCTTTGTTTTAGTTACCAGAGAAAGGGCAGGATTTGCCAGGAGCCCTGAATTCTAACCTTCTTTCCTGATGGGGGTGGCTTTTGTTTCCTAGGGACTTCATACCTTGTGTGGAGCTGGAGACATCCGGTCCAACAACGGGATTGCCATCCACATTTTCATCTGTAACACCTCTATGGTTAACAAGTAAGCAACTGTGGTTCCCTGAAGTTGGTTGAGCCCTGGAGCATGTTTTTATTCTAAGATTTCCAGTGGGGACAAATTATATGATGGGTCATTTGACTTTGATTCCCTAGAATTACGGACTTAGAATTACAAAAAATCAGAGCTGTAAGGAACCTTTTGTGGTTCAGTCATTTCAGTTCTGTCTGACTCTTCATGACTCCATTTGGAGTTTTCTAGGCAAAAATACTGGAGTGGTTTGCTATTTCCTTCTCCAGCTCATTTTACAGAAGAGGAAACTGAGGCAACAGAGTTAAGTGACTTGCCCAGGGTCACTCAGCTAGTAAGTGTCTGAGGCTAGATTTGAACTCAGGAAAATGAGTCTCCCTGACTTCAGGCCTGGCACTCTATCCACTGAGCCACCTAGCTGCCTCTAGATAAGGCCAGTGAGACTTAGAGAGAGGAAATGATTTGTTGAAGGTCCCATGGGTGAGACAAGTTGTCAGAACCAGGACCAGAACTCAGAACCTCTGACTCCAAATCCCACTGGGTTTATGGAACACTATGCTGCCCCTTACTGTGCTTTTACGTTGCTGATATCTCATAAAATGTTTTCTACCTTCTTTCCAGATGTTTTTACAATTCAGATGGTGATTTCTTGATTGGTGAGTTATAAAGAGCTTTATTCCTGTTACTCTCAGGTGGTCTCTAGCCACAAATTGCTTTTTCTATTTCCCAGTATGTTACAAATAACTCTCCTTACCTGAATTAATTAATGGTCCAGAAAAGACTACTGCTGCTCCTCAAGATCCCATCTTCTACATCCTTTTTCCTGTGTGTCTACCCTTCTGGGCTCTGCCATTTTTTCACATATCTGACTCAGTTGCAATGCACGGATGGATAAGAAAACATGAAGAGAAAAATTAAGTGTGATCAACCCTTGGGTACAACAATACAATTTAGCTTGAACATTTTCCCTTGAAAAATAGGACAATAAGGGCTGGGCATTTTTCGTATTTGTAAGCAAATATATACATGTGTATTTATACATACATGATTTGTATATACAAATACATATATGATCACCTGAACTATTACATCTGAATTTAGCCTCTGGACAATTTTAAATGAACCTTTCACTCCTTAGTAGACAGAATCTCTAAGGTTTTCTTTCAATAATCATAATCTAGAACCAAAAGGGACCTTAGGGAATCATGCTCAGCCCCTTCATTTTATAGATGAGAAAACCAAGGCCCAGAGAGGTTAACTGACTACCAATGTCACACAGAACTAGGATTGGGATTTGAACCCAAATCCTTTGACTCCAAATCCAGTGCTTTGTCCACTACAGTAAGGGTTTGGGGGTATCTGTGTAGATGTCTCCAGGGATACTCCCTGCCATCCCTACCAAAAAGTCGTGACTTCCGCTTCCAGCCCAGTTTTGATCAATCTGCTGTATCACGCATCTATTTTTAGCTATTCTGAACTTGACAGACACCAACAAACATGAACTTGACCGCAGAAAAAAGAATAGAAAAAGAAGATTGCATATGGAACTCTGAATCTCTACTGTGTCCAGCTTGTTCCCTCTTTTTTTATAGTATGTGATGAATTTATCACAAGGCTCCTTACCTTGCCATCTATGGGCTCATTAGCACAGTCAGGAAAAACAAGAATGAAAAACTTGATATATGAAAAAGCTGCCCACAAACCCACAGAATTAGAAAATTAGGTTGTTTGGGGTCAAGCCTTATTTTGCTCATACGTAATGAAGTCTTCCAGTAGGATTCCTTTTGATCCCATGGTTGTATTGGGGTCTTTCTGATTTTTTTTCAATGAGTAGAATTTGCCATCCTGGCCCTTCCAGCTTTGGGAGGAGGGTTGTTCTTCCTGAATGGTCTAGATTCTCTGGTTGTAAAAATAACTCTCCAATCAACAATATTTATTGGGTACTTACTGGGAATGGACTTTTTGTGCCCGACCTGCAGTAGAGCCTTCCAAGCTTGTATTGACATTATCTGACAAAGCCAGACATACTGTACATTGACCCCAACATTGTGATGTCATTTTGGTCCTCTTTGAGCAGCAAACAACTTACTGTGTGCCAACAACTAGAGATACAAAGAAAGGCAAAACAGCTTCTGTCCCAAAAGAGCTTAGATTGTAGTTAGGGAGGGGAGGATAGCAAGTAAATGATTAGATACATGCTAGATACATCCAGAGTCAATGGAGGGTCGCCTTTGAAAGGAAAGGTAGAGCATCTTTAAGGACAGGGGAAGGCCTCCTCCAAAAGGTAGCACTTGAACTGAATCTTAAGCCAGGAATTCTGAAAGGCAGAGATGAGGAGACAGAACATGCTAGGCATGGAGGACAGTTAGTGTGAAAACTTAGAGATGGCATCTTGTCAGGGAGGAATAGCAAACCATTGTAGATGATAGAGTATGTGGGGGGAAGTCAGTATCAGAAGCCTGGAGAAGTAGGAAAGGACCAGATTGTGAAGGACATTAATATTTATATTTGATGCTGGAGCAATAGGGAGCTACTGGAGATTATTGAGAGAGGCACTGTGGCAAAATCACTTTGGTGGCTACGTAGGGGATGGAATAGAGTGGGGAGAGGCTCAAAGAAGAGAAACTAATTAGAAGACTATTGCAACAATCCAGGTGAGAGGTGATGAAGCCTTGAGCTAGACTGATGGATGTGGGAGTGCAGAGAAGGAGACTTATACCAGGGGTGTGGGAAAGGTAGAAATGGCAAGATTTGGCAATCAACTGCATATGAGGTGGGGGAGAGGAGTCCAGTATGACACTGAGGTTTCAAACCTGGGTGACTTTCTCCTGGAAAGAGATATCCTCTTGCCAATCAGATTAGTCTTGAAAGCAGTCCCAGCAGAAGAGGGATTGTGAGTCAAGTCATTGCCAAAACCTGTTTGACATAGCTGACCTCTTTAGGATTGGACCCAAGCCATTCTGAATTAGAGCACGCCTATGACAGAAACTCCAGAGGGCCTGAATTACACTGGTGAATTATTTATTGGTTCAGAATGCCTTTCTAATACCCAGCATTGAAAGAAGAACAGGCCAAACATGGGCTTCAAGTAGGTGGGTAATGGGTGCAGAACTATGCCAGACCAAACTTCTGGCCCCACTGTGCATGGCAAACTGAACTCTTGGGGAGGCTGTAGAACCTACTAGACCTTCCCTGAATCTATAGGTCCAGACATTATCCAAGGCTGAGCCAGTTTCCCAGGGTAACCACAAATGGGAATTGTTTCCACTGCAGTGGATAAAGCATTGGTCTTGGAGTCAGGAAGACCTGAATTCAAATCCTGCCTCAGATTTACTACCTGTTTGACCATGGACCATGCAAATCATTTAGCCTCTGTGAGTCTCCTTTTTCCCTATCTGTAAAATGGGCACAATAACAACACTTATCTCACATGGGTTGCTGTAAGGACCAAATAAATGTCAGCTTTTTCCTTCACTCCTCTTTCCACACTCTGCTGCTACCAACAGCTGAGCTCCAGGGCAAACTCAACCCAAGAATTTCTAAGAATGTCCTTACTACTGTTCATTCATTCCTTTGACTGTGTGTCAGCCTCCAGGGCCCTGAATCCAATACCTTTTTATCAACAGAAGCTTCACCCTTAAGCCTAGCTCTCTGCTCTCTGTGTTTGCGGAGATGGGAGAATTTCTAGTCCCTTGGAATCCTGAATGTGTCTTTCTCTTCAGTTCCACAGCTCGGGAAGCTTCTCATTTACACTGAGTTTGGCAAGATGTTGGTGGAACCCAATGAGATCTGTGTCATTCAGGTGAGCAAAATATCCCTCTTTCTAACCCAATCTCCACCAACACACACACCACACACACACACACACACACACACACACACACACACACCCACACACCCACACACACCCCTTGCATGTTTAGGTTAAATCCAGCAGAAGCAAGGAGGCATTTGGATCAATCAATCAATTAATCAATAAACATTTATTAAGAGCATACTATGTGCCAGGCTCTGTGCTAAGTACTAGGGATACAAAAAGAGTTGAAAGACAATCCCCGCACTCAGGGAGCTGACAATCCAATTGGAGAGACAACATGTAAGCAAATATTTACAGAGCAAGCTATATATAGGATAAATAGATAATTACCAGATAGAAGACACTGGAATTAACAGGGGTTGGGGACTTGAAGGGATTGTAAGGTGGGGTTTGGGGACTTAAAGGAAGCTAGGGAGGTTAATAGAGCAGAAGAAGGAGAATGTTCCAGACAAGAGAAAATGCCCGGATCCAAGATAGCCAGGAGGCCATTGTCACTGGTTTGAAGACTATATATTGGGGAGTAAGGTGGATGGAGACTAGGTTATAAAAGAGCTTTGAATGTCAAACATAGCATTCTGTATTTGCTCCTGGAAGCAATAGTAAGCCACTGAAATTTATTAAGTCGGGGGGGGGGGGGTGACATGATCAGACCTGTGCTTTAGGAAAATCGCTTTAGTGGCTGAATGGAGGATGAATCAGAGTGGACAGAGACCTGAGGCAGGCAGACCCACCAGCAGGCTATTGCAATAGTCTACTCATGAGGTGATGAAGGATCCTAGCCATTTACTATTTCAATGGTTAGGCACCATGGGAGCTGGGGAGGAGGACAGAGAGATGCCGAAGAGCTCATGGGCCAGTGGGGTCAGCACCTTCCAGCCTGCAGCTTGATTTGTTATTGTTGTTGTTATTGTTTATTCAGTTTGATTTTTGAAATTTGTTCTCTCCACGCTGTGCTCCTGGCTCTCCAATCTTTTCCACCTCTCCTCAACAGCTTTTCAGGTCCCTTTTATAAGATGTCTTCCCCGCCCCCCCCAAAATGTAAGCTCCATGAAGGCAGGAACTGTCTTTCTTTTTGCTTGTATTTGTATCCCCAGCACTTAGCACAGTACCTGGTACTTAGTAAGCATTAAATGAAGGCTTTATCAATCTATCTAATCAATAAGCATTTACTTTCTCTACCCCTCACCTCTTACCCTCATTGAGAAAGAAAAAAAGACAAACAAGTCCTTTTTTTTTTTAGCACATATTCACACTTAAATACAACTTAATATCAAAATAGAATAAAGCCACAAAACCAAGTTCTTCCCATAGATGATTCAGGAGAGGGATGAGGTTGGATGGCTTGATTGAAACCTCACTGAGATTGCTTACTGTCTTAGAGAGGGGGGAGGGAAGGGAGGGAGAGAGAAAATTTGGAACTGGAAATTTTATTTTAAAAAAATGTTAAAATTATCTTTATATGTAATTGGAAAAAATAAAATACTATTAAAAAAAAAAACCTCATCCAGTCAGGCCTGAAGAAGCTTTGTCTCATGCTTAATCTAGGCCAGACCAAGGAAAGGATGGACTCAAGTTGAGATTCAATTAAACTGAACAAGCGTTATTAAGTGTCTACTATATTCCAGACACAGTACTAGGTTCCAGGGATACAAAGATAAAATCCAAAGCCTTTGCCCACATAGATTATATTGGGGTAGTTGGAAACATGTACATAGGACACTAAATACAGAGTAATTTCTGTAGGGAGGTCTAATAGGAAGGGAAATTTGTTAATAATAGAATAGGGGTTCCAGGGGCCACAAAGGAAAGTTAGGATAGTGTTGGATAAGGACAATGTAGAGATGGGGCTGATGTTAATGGGTATAAGGCAGTGGTGAGTGGTAGCTGGGGAAAGGAGCTTTGGCCAAGACTCAGAATCACAGACATTCTGAGTAAAGCCATAGAAGAGTAGATTGCCACATACTTCTGTAGTAGCCATGATGATATTGGTATGATTATAACTTTCTGAGCAAGAAATGGAAAAGGAAGTAGGGGACACCATGGAAACGATGCAGCCTATGGTAGAGCAGATGGTGAGTCTCTGGGGCTGCCTAAGAGTCAAGTTAGGGCTAAGTGGAGCCCTGAGGCTTGGCTAGTTATTGAGGGGTAAGGTATATTTGAGGTACTTATGCCCCAATCCTCTAATCTTAAGATTGTCTGGAAACACAAATGTGATTGCAAATTCAGTTCTGCTCGCTGGCTCATACTAACCAGAGGACCTATTGAACAAATGGGATCTTTGCATTTGGGGGCTATACGAGGCTTCCTTGTCACTGCTGGTATGATTTCTACGAAGAACCCCAATGTCTGCTTCTTCTTCCAGAGAGGAATGAGATTCAGTGTGGATGTATTTGAGGAGACCAGGGGCTACATCCTAGAGGTCTATGGAGTCCACTTTGAGTTGCCTGACCTGGGACCTATTGGTAAAGACTTACTTTACATCTCTAAATATCACTTAATGGGATATTGACAATAATAGGAAAAAATGGATACCCTTCACCTCTCATTTTTTCATTTAAATTCCTATTTCCTTTTTCACAGATCAAGTTTCTTCTCTAGAATAAATGGTTTTTGTGTTTCACTGCCCCACACAATGCCTGGAGTAGTATTAGAGGATAAAGAAAGAGAGGCTAGATGTGATTTCATCGATAGAAGGCTCAGGATAGGACTAGAGTAATATTGAGCAACATATAATCACCTCCATACACACATACATATTTGTATTCTGATCTGGCAGCATGACACAGTGGATAGAGAACCAGCCTTGAATCCAGGAAGATTCAAATTCAAGCCCTACCTCTAACATACACACTGGCTTTGTGACCTTGGACATGTTACTTACCTTTTCAATGCCCCAGGTAACTCCTCAAAATTTAAGTTGCAAGAAGGTGCAAACTTGCATTGGTAAAGAGAGCATCTTCATATAGGCATTCCCAATAGCCATGAAATTAGAGCTCCAGACCTATTTCCTATTCTCATCTGGACCTATATGCCTGAGCAAAAGAGCACAACATCTGGCTAAGGCCAGTTCTGACCACCCTAAAGTCAGTTGGGGCAGAAACCTAGGCCAGTGAATAGTGAATTACCCAGTATGAGAGAAGACTGAGACACTTTGAGATCCAGCACCCAAGGAAACCACCATCAGAGGGGAGGGAGTCAGGAAGTGAGTGATAAGAAAAATAAAGGGGAGGGGAAGAACTGAAAATACCAAAGAACTCTCAAACACCTTGAACATAAACAGATAAATCAGCAGGAAAAACTGTAAGAACAGGAAATATAACCTTCAGATCTAGTAAATGAGTTCAGGCATCTATGAATAAGTAGTGTGAGAGGAAGGAAAACGATCCATCACTTGGTGAGATAGAGAACTCTGTGGAATTTGAGGAGAACAAGGAACCACAACAAGCTGTTCTTGAATGGATTAAAAGAGAAATTAGAATTATGAGAGCAAAATTTACATCCTGCACAGCAGAAATAATGAGCAGAATAGAAAAAAAATTGAGTCTGCAATAGCAAACTCAGCAGAGAAACGGGACAGAGGAATAGATTGGGAATGCAGGTACATGTAAAGGTGAAGGACAACATAGAAGATAAGAACAAAAAACATTAAAAGAAAATACTCTCAGAGCTCCAGCCTTGGAGTCAGAGGACCTGAGTTCAAATCCGACCTCAGACACTTGACACTCACTAGCTGTGTGACCATGGGCAAGTCACTTAACCCTAATTGCCTCAGCAAAAAAAAAAAAATACTCTCATTATGCAAGCAAGCAAAATGTGTAGCTCTGGAGGGCAGGATGCTTAGAGCAAGCCTATGGATTGTAAGTCTCCAAGAAGAACCTAACAGGACAAAAAAAACCTTAACACTATAATGAAGGAAGTAATAGAGGATAACTGTTCAGAACTTCTAAACACGGAAAATGAAATTCCAATAGAAAGAATCCACAAATCATCTCCAGAAAAAAATAAAAAAGAAGGAAGTGAACTGCAAGGCACATAGTGGTTAAATTTAACAATTCATTTGGGACACAACAAGTTCTACAAGCAATCTGGAAAAAACATCATCAAATACAAAGGAAAGGACATTCAAATGACTAAAGACTAATCCTCGCCTACTTGAAAGAGAATGAAGGACTGAAATAATGTGTTCTGAAAAGCTTTGGAGCTCAAGATGCAGCCCAGGGTGGCCTATCCCTGAGATTAAATGTGCAAATCCGAGTTTAACCATACAGGACAAAAGATGGACACTCAATGGAGAATTTTTTTAGAAGTTAACTGAATGTTTTTGGAACTGAAGAGATTATTTGCTTCTCAAACACCCTAGGCCACACAGTTTCAGGAGGGGTGAATAAATGCAGACAACAACAACAACAACAGAGGGGCAACAGAAAGACCAGGAAGAAGCTTCTTTCTAAATGTACACAAGGAGACAGGGGCAAAGGCAGAAATCTGGTAGAGGTAACAGTGAAGAGACAAATGGGGGAAGTATTGATGGAACCTGGTGACCCCTTGCCTACAAGCAAATGCTTCTTTTGTGGAACTACACCATAACGTGGGAGGGAAGGTGCAGGAAAGGCGGAGAGGTGAACATGAGGGTAGAGAAGAATGCGTGATGCACTGGAGTCTAATCAAGGTCTAGCAAGGAGGGAAAAGTGACCTCTGTGGTCTCAGAAAGAAAAGAGCCTACAGTGGAATGGGGGAGGGAGGAGGGGAGAAAGATTGAAAAAGGGGGTAAGGACGGACATCTTACTCTGGATGTGGGAGGAGGTTCTACAGATGAATGCTATTATGGGTGAAGAGAGATGAGGACCTTACACTGAATGAGGCGTTGGGGATTTGCTGTCTGAAAGTCTACTTGTCCTGGAAGATGGGAGAGTTGGAACCCTTGGGGACAACTGACAACTAAAGGAGTGGAAGAGCATGTTTGCAGGGAGGAGATTTCCAGGCAAATGTAGAGGGTAAAAGTCAACAAGAGAGGGTATAAATAATTTTTTTTTTCGGGGGGTCCTATCATGAGGCAGTGTATTCCCTGATACCTGCAATAATTGACATTGTTCTAAGAGTGAGGCACTACGGGAAAAGGGAAGCCATGGGGAAAGCTCTGAAAGGCAGTAGCAAAAAGAAATACCTAGAGGGCAGGGCTAGAATGGATACCTTGGAAACTTTGATTATATGAAGAATACAGAGAAAAAAGAGAAAGATCAGATGATTATAGGGGTCATGAATCAGAGAATGAGAGTCTAAAGTAAACAGAAAGAAAAGGTGGATAATGAAGAGAATGAGAGAAATCCTTTTTGGAAAGAGATGCACAAAATAAAAACTAAAAAAACTGAAGAACAGGTGTAGCTGAAGGGTTCTTTCCCTTCCCTTTTACTTGACTAACTGAGAGGAAAAAAGTAGGGGAAGAAATATATAACCAAATAAAAGCAGCAGAGAGAAACCAATAAAAAGACCCTAAAAGGAAAGGGGTAACAAATAAGGAGAAGGGACGCGGGAAGGGAAGAAAGCCAGTGGGAACAGGACCACCTTTTAAAAAATTAAAGTAAGTAATTGAAGGAACATACTGTGTTTACAGCAGGAGGGGAAAATCTCAACTTGGAAAAAAACATTTTAGAGACAGAGGAAATATAAACCTAATTCTTATAAATGTGAATGGATTAAACTATCCAATAAAATAAAAAAGAGGCATAGATTGGATAAGAAAACAAAACCCTACAATCTGTTGCTTACAAGTAATACATTTAAAAAACAGACATACACAAAATGAAACTGAGGGAATGAGGAAAAATTTTTACTCTGAATCAACTGAATCCAAAAAAGCAAGAGTTGCTATCATGCTATTAGACAAAGCAAAAACAAACATTAAAAAATAAAAGGGGATAAACAAAGAAACTATAATATGCTGAAAGGAAACATAGATAACAAAGCAACATCAATAATGAACTTTTCTGCTTTAAATGCTTTAGCATCTAAATTCATAAAAGAAACATCATCTGAGTTTCAAGAAGACATAGAAAATAAGTCAATAGTTACAGGAAACTTTAATATCCCTCAATCAATTTTGCATTAGTCTAACAAAAAAAATGCATAAAAGCAGGAAATATGTATTTGAATGCATTTCTGGAGAAACTAGAGTTAAAAGACTTATGGGACAGCAAAAGAATATACATATGTTTCCACACCATGTGGAAAGCAGTCTGACAGAAATTAGGCTTAGACTGACACCTTGCACCATGTTCCAAATCACATTCTAAATGGATACATGACCTTAATATTCAAGATCACACTATACAAAAAATTAGAAGAAAAAACAGATCATATACTTCTCATAGCTATAAGTAAAAGAGGTACTCTTAATCAAACAAGAGATAGAGGCAATTACCAAAAATAAAAGATATAATTTTAATAATTCAAAAAACAGCAAGCTTCTGCACAGCAACATTAATGCATTTGGGATGAGAAGAGAAGTGGCTGAATGGGAAAAAACCTTGTATCAAATTTCTCTGATGAGAGTCAAGATATATAAACAATTAATAAACATATATGACTAAAATCCATTCCCTAGTTGATAAATGGTCAAAGTAGGACTTCCACTTCCGGGAGCCAAGATGGCAGAGTGAAAAGGTAGCCGCTCTCCTTTCCCCTATCAACCTCTGAAAACCCAGGAAATATCACCCCAGAAAAAAAACCCTGGAACACCTGAACTAGAAGAAAGATGAGGAGCAGCAGTGCAGCAGCCCAGCAAACGGGTCTCCCAGTGCCTCAGCAAAAATAAGGGAGGCAGAACTACAAGGGGCCCCAGGCAGATAAGTACCCTGTGGCATTCATCTGAAAGGAGGTGAAGAAAACAACCTAAAGGCTTCCTAAAGCCCCTGCCTTGCTGATTCCAACCCAACACCAGGTGAGCTGTAGGAGCCCTGAAGCCTGCAATTGTGAAGAAATCCTGAAGCCCAGGTGGTAGAACAGGCAAACACCAACACCTGGACCTCCGAGTGCCTCAGTGAGGGGGGGAACCGTGGAAACCAGCTCAGAAAACCACCAGGTGCCTCAGCACTCTACCACAAAGGAATCTCCCAGTGCATTAGCAGAAACGAGGGAGACAACACTGCAGGGGGCCCCAGGCAGATAAACACCTGCAGCACCCATCTAAAAGGAGTTGAAGAAAGCTAAAGAAAAGGAAAAGCAGGCAACCTAGAATTGCCTGAAAGTTTTAAGCTGCCAGAAACCTACAGCCTCCAATTGCCAGCATAAGAGGCCCCAGCACACAAAGCCAGTGACCAAGACCTAGGCTCCCAACACAAGAAGCTTGGGTCAGTACCCTCTGTTCCCCAGCAGGAGAGCTCAATCTCTTTAAAGGCCAGGGAATAAAGAAACACCATGAGTAAAAAGAAATGTACCATAGATTCATATTATGAGAAGAGTGAAG